CTTAACCCAGTGTTTTTGCGTCAATTTTGTCGAGATATTCTGCTGCGGCTGGAGCTCGTTGCGGAACATATTGTAGTCATTCTCGCAGTCACTACGAGCCATTTGACATACGATACGTCTATCGTCAATTGACAACCTTGCCCCCTGGCGATTGATGTTGTCCATGATGTGTCGCAGGCAGAACCTGTGTCCAACACCGGGAGAAACGTCAGCCACAGAGGCTAAAAGGCCATTCTGGCGGTCGGAAATTCCTGTAAACTTAGCTAAGCTTGTTGCAAATTTCAAAGTTGTTAAAAACCAGTGCCAATTCTCATAGTTTTCGACTGGAACCAGCGCCAGTGCAAAAGGTACGACGTGATTGTTGAAATCCTTGGCAGGTGCAACGAGGAAAACGCCTCTCTTGTTCATTTCTCCCTTCAGGTGGGTTCCGTCAAAACAACAATAGGCTTGCCCATTTTGACGATATGAATTCCAACATTTGGAATGAAGCATGCCCGTCGAAAAGTAGCGTTGTCAATTTCACGGTCAAGTCTCCACACAGAATCAGGGTTTTTGTCCACCATTATCTTGAAATACGACTCTAGCTTTTGGTAACTTTCGATGACGTCTCCGCGGAGCGTATCGTCAATGTCCAACTTTATCCTAGAGATAGTGCTGCTTGAAATTGTGAAACTACGGGATTTGAGAAACTCACGAATCGATCTTCCATCTAAGGATGCCGTAGATCTAGCGTGCATTGGAAGCAAATCTCTCATAACCAGAGTTGTGAGATGTTGAATGTCTTGTGTAGTGTTCCGAATAGCCGTCGATGGACGAGGAATTGCACCTTCAACGCAAGGCGTTCGAGTAAATCCAACATCTTTGGCATGATTATGCACAAAGTTTGCCTTCGTCAACTTCCAAACGCCATTTTTGCCGTATACATTGATGAAAAACGAGCACTCTAAATTGTCCAAAGGCGTCTCCCGGTCGGAAAACTAGACACCGTTGAGTTTCTTGCACTGATACTTTGCGTTCCCGAAGTTGTTGCAATTGACACTTGTTTGCTTCACAAAAATTTGGAAGCCTGACTTAATGGCAAATTCTTTACACCGTTGAGCGTTCTTTTGAGAAGAGAATTCATCCTCATAAATATTTTCGTTTCAGCTGTAGACTAGACCGTAGTCCTGCTTTGAGGAATCGTCAATCTGAATCGAAATATCACGCCGTAGAAGTCGTAAGTCTCGAGCAAGCTCGATGTCAGAGCAGTCGACTACGAAACGAGCATTGCCAAACTTGCACAGAGGATCCGAACGCTCTCCGGGGTGTTGAATCGATGCGTCCGTAGTAGCAGGAAGCTGCAAGACCGATCCCGAGTTGAGATCTTGAGCAGGCGTTGCTATATTGAAAATAAACAACTTGAGAGAATGTCGCTGATGAAAATAACAAATATAGCATGCTATATTTGGAAATCAAATTATATTTGGTATCGCTAAAGCAAAATATTTGTATTCTGTAGCCATTTTCCATATTGTTTACTAGGTAACATGGTTTGTAAAACAAAAAAAAACTCCTAAATTAAAATTTTACAATCTATATTGTAAATTTCTGGAATCGCATTTTTTTTTAAAAAAAGAAAAGCGTTTCGAGATAAGCTTACAAAGACGTAGCATAAGAATGAGCTCTAACAAGATATTAATACGACTATGGGGTGCGTGGATGCAACGCTGCCAATATATATCAAATTACAGCTAATTATAACTACACTTCTTTTCTGAGGTGCTCAACCCCGACTCATTTGAGATATCGATGATCTTCGGGTCATTGATCTAATTATAAATGCATAATAAGCGTTCGAACTGATTAATGCCATTTCCACGTTGAAAAATTTAACATAAGAGATGGTGCCTAGCGTTGACATTTCCACGACGTCGAGATCATGTTAAACTTTTTATTCTTGCACTTCTTCGCCGGAAAATACTCTTGTAAGCATTTGATACGGGCACTGGTGCCCATTCAGTGCGAACTTAGTAGGGTACTGTTTTTTTAATAACACAAACCCAGGGCAGATGTACTGGAATTGACACTGCTGGTTTGAAATATTTTTTGGAAAACATCAAAATCCAGTACCCTAGTACTGGATTATGGAAATTCCTCGTGCGCCAAGTGTGACGTGACATGTCTCAGTCGGTTGTGCTGAACTCGATTGCGGCTGCCGGTTTTGATGTCGATCCCATGCGCTGGTTCAAATGGAATTCCGACGTCTACGGGTAGAAGTTCCTGCAATCCTGGAGCCGTGATGAGGCAGGAAACGAGCTAACTACGGAGCCCGAAACAGCCCCCAAATTCCTCCAATTGCCTATTTTCAGAAGATTTTCAGTGAATATCCGAAAAATGGGGTGAGTTTTTGACTGACGCATCCTCCACTTGCTTATGCAGAGTCGCTTGTTGATGCGGCCGATTACGCTGTGCCGCTGTTAATGTAATAACATGGTCATTGTATGGCTTCTCCGGGAGGCTGCTGCTGGTGTTGGCCGTTGTCTAACTAGCTTCGAAAAGGCTTTCAGTAAGTCTAGAAGCACTTCTCTTATTTCAGGCAGTATCAGCAAGCTCACAAGACGTTTCCTATCCCCCTGAGCCCATTAGCCTCTAAATGCCATCGCCCAACCAAAATGCGCGCTCGCTTTACTTCGTTTTGCCGATCGTTATAGCCATCGTGACAAGTTCGGTCTCCGCACGACTCCAACCAACCAGCGGAATAATGCAAGCTCGATCAATTGGAGCAGGCGACAAACCTATCGCCGTGATGCGCTTCCTGAGAGACGGTGGTACCAGTGATGACGATGCCGACAATGAAATCATGCTCGATGAGGAACGAGGATACCTCGAGAAATTGATCATCAAGTATGGGCTAAAGCTCAACAACGAGGTAAACTTGATAATGAACACGAAGCCACACGAGATACTCGCGTCGCTAGCGGCTAACAACGTTCCGATGTCCGAACAACTCTTGCTCGAGTGGTTAAAGTACGTTCTAAACTACACGAAGAAGATACCGACAAGTTCATTTTTGGTGGACGATAAGTATTGTAACGAATCCACTTATCTTGCTCGGTTCGTGGAGCAGATCGTACTCGCGTGTGTGCTTCCTGCGAGTGTCCTGGGTTCGTCGGGTTACTGAACTTCAACACACTGCTGGCCAACAGGTTTCAAGC